TCCAAGACAATAATTGGAGCCATCAAGGGTGACTGTGATGAGTTGCATTCCAAGTTGATATGAGTTTATGAGTGTCAACACGTCTGTATTAGGGTTTGCCATTGAGTAGTAAAGTAATAGTGTAGTGTAAAAATTAGAAAAATCAATGCTTATCACTGGCATTGCTCTGATATCATGTAAATATCCAACCGGGTGTAAATGAGATTTTAATGCTTTTAATTTTTTATCTTTTGAATTGTGTAAAGGCCATTGGAAATATTTATACATTCAAGAGAGTAAAGAGGGAAAATAGAAAGGTAGTGTCTAGAATCTACCGAGACCACCAGTTGTCCACAACAACCTAACCAATTTTAAAATAGAAAAAATTTTGGCTCTCTATTTTAGGGTTTTGATTTGGGCAGTCTATCTATCCGTCACATTTCAGTTTCTTATTTTTTAATTTTTCACTCCAAACTTGAATACCTTCAAAATATTATATTTGAGATACTTATTTTAACCCACCAGCTCTTCTCTTGCTTCCTCACATGTCATCAGATCATTGTGTTATCCGTGGTTATGATGTGCCGTCAAATACAATTTCATTGATCAACGCATGAGCTATACACAGAAATCTTAAGAAATAGGAAGACCCAACAAGTTTTAAGCTAGAGAGATTTGAAAATAATAAATTAGAAGCTCAAAAATTAGTCATGACTTTTGGGTTAGAACGGAGGACTTGTCCTGGTTCAGGATTAGTTCAAAGGGTGGTGAGCTTGGTATTAGGGTTAGTGATTCAAGAGTGAGTGAAAAAGAAATTAATATGCGAGAAGGGAAAGGACTCATAATGCCTAAGTTAGAGCCGCTATAAGTTATGTGCAGAGCCCGTCCAATTATAGATAAAATTCTAGAGCAAATTGATTGATTAGAAGTTTGTGTTTTGAATTGAGCTACACTCAATTTAACCTCTCATGATAAGTAGAATTTTAAAATTCAAAAACCTAGTTTCACTATTTTTCTAAAAAAAAATAATTCAAAAGTTATGTACGGTTGTATTAAGTTCTAAAACTTAAAATAATATAGGACTCAATGTGATAAAATAATTTCAGATAAAATTTTATATAAGTTTTTTTCTTAATATTTTATATATAATATTTATTATATTTTGATTAGTTTAATCACAAACTGATAATAGAAATTCGAATAGCTCAGAGGATATGTTACAAAATTGGTAATATTAAAACGCCAGATAGGTTTAATTAGGGGAATTATGGAGCTGATGCAGTTCTCTTCCATCTGATTTTTCAAGTCTATTTTAACTGTGACTCTTAGTTCAGTTGGATTATTGCCCACAATAACCAAAGGTAAAAGCATACTAAAACATTATGCTTTTTCATATTGTATCATGTTAAATTATTATCATTATTTTTTAGATTTGGTATATTTCCTAACTAATTCTTGTGTATTAAGAAATAGAAAATAGTTAAACAAAATTATTTATTTTATTATTTATAAATAGCTTTAAACATTACATTTTGGTTTCATATTTAATAATGTGAAAAATAGATTACTTTTTAAAAAGTAATTAAATATCGAAACAAATACATATATATATATATATATGTCTTGGATGCTTCATAGTCGTATTGCCAAATGTGATTTTCTTGGGCCCTCTTTTTAACTAAGATAACTATTAGTTCCGTAGACATTTTGTCTTACATAAAAAGAAAAATAGTATAAAAAAATAAAAGAACAAAAGATAGCAGACATCATTTACGTCAGTCTTCATTAAATCAGTTAAAAATATATAGCTACAGTATATATGTATATTATAAGTAAGTATAAAGATAAATTAAGATTACAAAATTTGACAATTTAATTGAAGTAAGATTTGTTGGTGTTTCGTTAAAATGAGTTAAACTCTCTTCGTTGACATAGTCATAAGATGTTAACTTCAAAATAAATACTAAAAAATAACAAATCAATTAAATTAGACTTTGTTCAAATTGCAATACTTTTGAATAACAAATTGCATTAACTTGTCTGCTATCTTCTTCTTCTTCAAGAGCTAATGGCTAAAGGAAATTTCTTTCGCAGTTTTTTATGAAAAGAAATATATCTATATGCTTACATATATAATACACATACTCATTTGTATAGGGCCTTACTCCTTTAACTCAGTTTAAATCTCAACCAAAAATGGAAGTCACCTGGCTATTTCAACTCTTAGTGACCTTGATTACTGTTCTCTTCTTCATCAATTACTTACGCAAAGTAAGAAGATCGCAATCGCCGGCCGACAAAATTCTACCGCCAAGTCCGCCGTTTTCTCTTCCATTTCTCGGCCACCTCCATCTGCTCCGAGAACCCCTTCTCCACAGAACCTTCTGGTCTCTCTCCCAAAGACTTGGTCCAGTCTTTTCCCTCCAACTCGGTTCCCGCTTCGTCCTCGTGGTCTCCTCGCCGTCGGCCGTCGAGGAATGTTTCACTACAAACGACGTCGTCTTGGCCAACCGCCCCCAGTTCATCATGGGGAAGGACCTCGCCTACGACTACAGCTCAGTCATCACCGCGCCATACGGTGACCACTGGCGCAACCTCCGTCGCATCTGTTCCATCGAGATCTTCTCTTCGACTCGCCTAAACGCATCGTCAAACACCCGAAATGACGAGACCCAGTTCTTGCTGCGCCGGCTGCGGCGAACCTCGTCTGGCAGCGGGCTCTTCTCTCGGGTGGAGCTCAGACCCATGTTTACAGAGCTTACGTTCAACATAGTGATTAGGATGCTGGCCGGAAAACGGTACTACGGCGAAAACTTGAGCTGCGTTGAAGAAGCGAAGGAGTTTAGGGAGCTGATAGGGGAGATCGTAGAGTACGGAGGGGCGACGAATCCGGCAGATTTCTTGCCGGTCCTCCGGTGGGTCGATTATCAAGGTATAGCGAAAAGATCGGAGCGGCTGGGTAGAAAAACAGATGCTTTCTTGCAGGGTTTAATCGACGAGCATCGAAGGAAAAAAGGTTCGCCGGAGTTTGAGAATACAATGATCAGCCATTTGCTGTCTCTGCAAGAATCGAGTCCGGACTACTACACAGATCTGATTATCAAAGGCCTTGTCTTGGTCAGTAAACTTTTCGCTCGAGGGGGTCGTACCACCCTCTGACTGTTTCAATTGTTGGGTTTCTGTTATTGTTCTTGGGTATATGAAAGATGTTGACTTTGACTTCTTTTTTACTTTCGTGTGAACGGGTGCAGATAATGTTAGTTGCTGGCACGGACACGACAGGAATAACAATAGAGTGGGCGATGTCCAATTTGCTTAACCATCCATATGTGTTACAGAAAGCGAAAACTGAACTGGATACTTACGTAGGCGCAGATCACCTGATCAACGAGTCGGATCTTCTTAATCTAACTTACTTAAACGCTATAATTTCGGAGACCTTACGACTATACCCGGCATCTCCACTCCTGGTCCCTCATGAATCGTCCGATGAGTGTAAGATTGGTGGGTACCACATTCCACGTGGGACGATGGTACTGGTCAATGCATGGGGGATTCATCGTGACCCAAAAGTTTGGGATGATCCGGCATCGTTTAGGCCCGAAAGATTTGAGGATGGCCAAGGTGATGCCCATTATAAGTTATTGCCTTTTGGGGCGGGTAGGAGGGCGTGTCCAGGAATGGCGTTGGGGATTCGAACGGTTGGGTTGGTTTTGGGGTCATTGATTCAGTGCTTTGAGTGGAAGAGGGCTGGGGAGGAGGAAATAGACATGGGTGAAGGTAAAGGAATTACCATGCCTAAAGCCCATCCACTTATTGCCATGTGCAAAGCACGTGATGTGTTGGATAAGTTCTTTTGAACCTTCTCATATTGCTATAAACTAGTCCTGAGATTAATTAATTGATAATTAAATATAATGTAAAAAACATATGATTTAATTTTCTTATAATTTTAAAATTTTGGGTTTTCTTTACTGTGATACTTCAGTTTCTGTTATTTAATTTTTTTAAAAAAAAAATTGGATAAGAATAACTTAACTTTCTAAAGATATTTGTATGTAAAATAATGAAGATCAAACAAACTATGTCAGGAAAAATTAAAAAATTACAAGACAATAACAAAAGTTTTATGTAGAATAATAGAATATTAAATAAAAAATTCTGAATTGTATGAAAAAATAAATGTAAATTTTCATAAAATCAAAGAAAGTAGATTTATAATTTTCACTTAAATACATAGATAGACTCTATAACCCTCTCTCATGCTCGGAGACGAAAGAAGTATGAACAGTAATTAGGAGCTTTGGACGGTAAAAGAAAATTATTTGCGCTTTAATATTCAATTAACATAATTAATATATTTCAAATGATGATTAAAAATTAACATATTGATAATAGTTATGAAGTTCTCCACCTTATTTTCATTTACAATAATAACTAATAATTTTTTTAAAACATAATATATATAATCTCCTTACATTTAATTTTTCTAATGCTGAATATCATTTTTTTTTGTTATACGAAAAATAATAAATAACTTCATCAACCTACAGATGTTTCTTTCAAACAGACTGAAATTAAAAAATTTCTAAAAAATAGAAAGACTTTATGCAAGGCATGCGATCCACGACTTTCCCCATGGCAAGACAGGTACAGAGAAAACACTAAATTTTTTTATATTTTTTTCTTCCTTCTTTTCGAAGGATCAGTTAGGATTTAAAGAACCAATTGAGCTCGTATTGTATTGCCAACTGAAAGATTCCTCACTATGATGTGGATTTGTGGAAGATGGGAATCGCAGTAAGTCTCTTATCAACTTTGAGACGATGATTCACTTGTTGCTAGAGTAATAAACTGTTCATAACAAGTTCTATATAAGTTTTTCAAAGATGATTAATCTATTTTAGCATTTAGTTCTTTACTGGATTTTAGCTGCCAATAATTTCATTAGAAACTACTCCATTTTCTACTTCTCTATCATTTCTACCCAAAAAATAAGAAGGGACCAATCTTAGAATAATAAGAAATTAACTAATTGAATATTCACATGGAAGTACCTTCTAAGAACCCTCTGCTTCGCTTTGGCTTTGAAGAAATGAACACCTGATCATCATCTTCAACAGTAGTGATCCAGTCATGTGTTGCAGGATTGCTCTTAAAAGCAGGTTTCTCAACAAGGCCAGCACCGCCATGGACACTCCGCAACCGAATCACACCACCATATCCTTCTTCTTCTTTACCTCCTCTCACCACTCTTATAAATCCACTTCCTGTCTGTTACAATCAGAAAAAGAACACACTGATCTAATTAGAAAAAGAACGAGAATAATTAACGATAATCAACACAAAATATCGGAAAAGATATTTTGCTCATCTTAGATTTTTGTAATAATTAATTTATAACTGTTTATTGTAATTTACCTATCTTTTCCAATTTGAATAATCAGTTGGATTATATTGTTTAATAATTAATATATTAAATTAAGCATAAATACAGGTAATTCTAATAATAAGGACTGATACATCGAATGTTACAATAAAATGGACATTATCCAATTTACTTAATCATCCTGACATTTTAAATAAGACAAAAATAGACACTAATGATGAAATTGATGACGATAGTTTAATTGATGAATATGATTTCTGTAACGGCTCCGGAATTTTAAAATGAAATATATGTATTAAAAAGGTCAAACGCGGAAGCGAAATAAAAATTTGATTAACATCCCTTACAGTAAAACCAAAAATGTGCTCAAAGTATAAAAAAACAAACTAACTAAAAGAGAAACTCGAAGATAAAAGCTATAAATATAACTACGGAGTCTTCAGGCGTCCCTTTCGCCGTCTTCCTGCGGAATGGGCTCGGGAACAATGTCTTCCTGATCTGAAATGATTAAATAAGGAATGAACTACACCAGCCCAGTAAAGACATCACACTATCTCACCGTCACGGAGGTAAAGGTGGGTAGAAAACACAAAAAGACCAATGGAGCATAATTTACAACAAATTCTTTTATCAATAATAAAACTCTTTACTATCCACTTATCTCGGTGAAATTCATAAAACAATATACGAAAGCAGTAACATTATCATTATCATGAAATCATATGAGCGGTATAACATAATACTTATCACACATTTGCAATCCAATCATTACACAACATATTTTTCTTCATTTACCAGCCTACTAGTATCCATGGGGATCCATAGGGGTCCCGCTACCCGTGAACCCTTAACACTTGTAATCAAATTCCAGGGCAGTCCCCATACCCCGTCCGGTATGGGTGCCAAAACTATAAACATCAATACCCCGTCCGGTATGAGGGTGAAACGGGCCGTTCTCATACCCCGTCCGGTATGGGCGCCAAAACACATAAGATCTCTATACCCCGTCCGGTATGAGAGACCACAATCCCGGTAGGGTTCCCTACGGACCCGGTCCGTCCACCATCTCCCAGGATATCTAGTCAGGCTGACCACATTATACAGTTATCAATTTACATAACCTTTCATTCTCCTTTTCCTCAATCAGCATCATCAATTCACACACAAACAAGCAAACCAGTAATTTATGCCAAATAAGACAACATACAACATCGGGTTCTCAGTCATTCAACCCATAATCAATAAAACAGTAATATATGCACACAAAACTATGAAATGAAGACATCAGACCTCATACTGCATTTAAAACCGTAAAATAGGCCAAACAACAGCTAACCGACAAACACACCAGACTCGGGCTCCATTAGCGACCTTAAACAATTTCACACATCTGTTGATTCATGAAATACCGTTTTATCATTTATTGAACTTTAATACCGTGATAGGAAATAGGGTGAGGGGTCCTTACTTGTTTCGAGGTCCGAACACGACTCCACAGTGCGCCTACAGGCTGTCCCTAATTTTTCCTGAATTTTTCTCGGAGAACTGAAACGCACTATTAGTACCTGCACGTGTCCCAAAAAATCCAAATTAGACCCAGGGCCCCTTTCGGCCAATATCGCAATTCCGGCACGGCGGCGATTCGCCTCAGGTTGGCCGTTTCCGGCCGAATTCGGCCACACTTGCATCGGTTCCTGCGATAAAACACCTTAGGGCCCTCGGGGGCCAAAAAATTACGAAAAACCGAAGCTTACCAGCGGCGGTGCTCTCGGGTGCGGCGGCTCTCGGCGAGGTTCGTGTTTTGGTGATTCGGCTCAGATCAACCTGTAGAGAAAAGAATGGTGATCACGGTGATATAAAAATTGTATCAAACGGAGGCTGGGAAGGACCTCATCGGAGGCAAAAACCGAGGAGGGGTGCGGCGACGCCGCTGGGTTTCGGCCGTTTGGCCGGAATTTTGGCTTCGATTTGGCCACAAGGGAGCTCAGCGTGAAAAAACGAGCCAGGGGTATGAAATTTACCTCGATTGGCGGTCGGAAAACTCCCCGGTGCGGCGGCGGGTGGCGGCGGCCGGCTCCTCCGGCTTCTGGTTCGTCTTCTCCGGCGAGGGCAGGCGGTTAGGGTTTTTGTGGTCAGGTGTGGGGGTTCTATTTATACCTTTTTATCTTTTGATCACAGCCGTCCATTTTGATTAAATCTGGGCCGTCCGTGCGCGATTGAATCTGGGCCGTCCGTGCGCGTGTATCTGGGCCGGCCGTGCGCTTGTATCTCGGCCGTCCGTGCGCACGCTTAATCTGGGCCGTCCGTGCGCACGCTTAATCTGGGCTGTCCGTGCGCGCGGGGACGCATCTGGGCCGTCCGATCGCGCGCACGCGGATCGCCCACGTGGCCCGTTCCCGGGTCGACGTGGTTTTGCCACGCGGCAAGTCCTAGTTGGCCAGGGCTGCTGACTGGGCCGCTGACGAGGCTACTAACGTGGCGCTGACGGGGCACAATTTTTTTAAATTGCGTTTTGACCCCCGGTTTTCGATTTTCTTTTCAAAAATACATCAGAATCCTAATTTTCACCCATTTTTTTCAAAATCAATTTCAATTAAATCTAAATAATATTTTTACCCAATTTAATCATTATTATTATTTTTATTCTTATTAAATTAAATAACTCAAAATAAATTCAAAAAATTAATTAAAAATAATAATAATAAATGGCAAAATTAATGGGTGTTACAATTTCTCCAAACTTGAATACCTTCAACATATTATATTTGAGACATTGCGTTTTCACCTACTAGCTCCTCTGCTACTTCCTCACGTGTCATCTGATTATTGTGTTATTAATAGTTATGATATGCTAACAAATATAATCTTATTGATTAAGCATGAACTATACACAAAGATCCTAAGATATGAGAAGATCCAACAAGTTTTAAGTCAAAAAGATTTGAGAAAAGTAAAGTAGAAGCTCAGAAATTAACAAGTCGTTTGGGTTGGGTATTGCCAAATGTGATTTTCTTGGGGTATCTTTTTAAAGAAGGTAACTATTAGTTGCTTTGGATGTTTTGTCTTACTAATCACGCAACATAAAAAGAAAAGTAGTACAAAAATAAAATAATGAAAGATAGCAGCCATCATTATTTACTTAAATTACTTCCAAAAAAAATCGTATGTAAAATTTATGTTCTGTCTTCATTAAATCAGTTAAAAATATCTGATGAACACTATATAAATATATAGGTACAGTATATATACATCTATTTTACGTAAGTGGGAAGATAAATTACGATAATTAAAGTTGAAAAATTAATTAAATTAAGATTTGTTGGTATCTCGTCAAAATGAGTTAAATTGACGACTCTTCAATGATATATTCGTAGATGTTAACTAAAAAATAAATAATAAGAACTAACAAATCAATTAAATTAGATTTTTTTCAAATTGCAATACTTTTTCGCTAATTTCTTCCCAAGAGCTAATAGCTAACCAAGAATATACGTGTCTATATATATAATGTAGACATTCATTTGTATAGGCATTACACCTTAACTCAGTTTAAATCTGGACCAAGGATGGAAGTTACCTGGCTATTTCAACTCTTAGTAACCTTAATTACTTTTCTCTTCTTCATCAATTTCTTACGCAAGGTAACAAAAACGCAATCGCCGGCAACAAAATTCTGCCGCCAAGTGCTCGTTTTCTCTTTCATTTTTCGGTCACCTCCATCGTCTCCGAGAATCCCTTCTCCATAGAACCCTCTGGTCTCTCTCCCAAAGACTCGGTCCAGTCTTTTCTCTCCAACTCGGTTCCCGCTTCGTCGTCGTGGAATCCTCGCCGTCGGCCGTCGAGGAATGTTTCACCACAAACGACGTCATCTTGGCAAACTTGGCAAACCGCCCACGGTTCATCATGGGCAAGGACTTCGCCTACGACAACAGCTCAGTCATCACCGCGCCATACGGCGATCACTGGCGCAACCTCCGACGCATCTGTGCCATCGAGATCTTCTCTTCCACTCGCCTAAACGCATCGTCAAGCACCCGAAACGACGACAACCAGTTCCTGCTGCGCATGCTGCGGCGAGCCTCGTCTGGCAGCGGGTTCTTCTCTCGGGTGGAGCTCCGACCCATGTTTACAGAGCTTATGTTCAACACACTGATTAGGACGCTGGCCGGAAAACGGTACTCCGGCGAAAACTTGAGTTGCGTGGAAGAAATGAGCGAGTTTAGGGAGCTGATAGACGAGATTGTAGAGTTCGCCGGGGCGACGAATCTGGCGGATTTCTTGCCGGTGCTCCGGTGAGTCGATTATCAAGGTATAGCGAGAAGATCGGAGCGGCTGGGTAGAAAAACAGATGCGTTCTTGCTGGGTTTAGTCGACGAGCATCGGAGGAAAAAGGTTTGCCGGAGTTGAGAATACAATGATCAGCCATCTGCTGTCTCTGCAAGAATCGAATCCGGAGTACTACACGGATGAGATTATCAAAAGCCTTGTCTCGGTTAGTGAACTCTTTGCTCTTGGCGCCCCCGCCACCCTTTGACTGTTTCAATTATTGGGTTTCTATTCTTCTTTTAAGGTATTGACTTAGACTCTTATTTTAACAGGTGCAGATAATGTTAATTGCTGGCACGGACACGACAGGAACAACACTAGAGTGGGCGATGTCCAATTTGCTTAACCATCCATATGTGCTACAACAAGCGAAGACTGAATCGGATACTTACGTAGGTGTCGATCGCCTGATCAACGAGTCGGATCATCCTAATCTAACTTACTTCAACGCTATAATTTCGGAGACCTTACGACTGTACCCGGCATCCCCACTCCTGGTCCCTCATGAATCGTCCGACGAGTGTAAGATTAGTGGATACCACATTCCACGTGGGACGATGATACTGGTCAGTGCATGGGGGATTCATCGTGACCCAAAGGTTTGGAATGATCCGACGTCGTTTAGACCAGAAAGATTTGAGGATGGCAACAGCGGTGCCCATTGTAAGGTAGTGCCTATTGGGGTGTGGGGGAGGGCGTGTCCAGGAATGGTGTTGGGGGTTCGAATGGTTGGGTTGGGCTTTGGGGTCATTGCTTCAGTGCTTTGAGTGGAAGAGAGTTGGGGAGGAGGAAATAGACATGGGTGAGGGTGAAGGTAAAGGAATTACCATGCCTAAAGCCCATCCACTTATTGCCATGTGCAAAACACGTGATGTGTTGGATAAGTTCTTTTGAACCTTCTCATATTTCTATTTACCAGTCCTGAGAATAATTAATTGATAATTAAATATAATGTAAAATACATATTATTAAATTTTCTTGTAATTTTAAAATTTTGGGTTTTTCTTATTGTGATAATTTAGTTTCTGTTATTTATTTATTTTTTAAAATTTTCGATAAAAATAATTGAACTTTCAAAAGATCTTTGCATGTGTTTGATTTTTTAAAATGTATGCAAAATAATAAAAGATCAAACAAACTATATCAGAAAAAATTTAAAAATAAGAAGACAATAACAGAAGTTTTATGTAAAATAGCAGCATATTAAATAATGAATTCTGAATTATATGAAAAAAAAAAATAAAAGCAAACTTTAACCAAACCAAACAAGGTAGATTTATAATTTTCTCTTAAATACATAAACAGACTCTATAACCCTTTCTCATGTAAGGGGATGACTGAAATATGAATGGTTATTAGGAGGAGCTTTAGATGGTTATAAAAAATAAAATTTTAGCGCTTTAGTATCCAATTAATGCAATTAGTTTATTTCAAATTATAATTAAAAATTAACATATTAATAATAGTTATGAAGTTCTTCATTTTATTTGCATTTATAATACCACCTAATAATTTTCTTTTAGCATATATAATCTCCTTACATTTAATTTTTTCTGATGATGAATATAATTTTTTGGTTGTAGGATAACATAAGAACTTAATCAACCTATAGATATTTTTTTCAAAACAGACTGAAATTAAAAAATTTCTAAACTTAATGCAAGGCATGCGGATTCATGACACCCCCATGGCAAGACAGGTACAGAGAAACACTGAATTTTGTTCTTTTTTCTCCCTTCTTTTTGATTTGATCAGTTAAGATTTAAAAAACTAATGGGAGCACGCATGGTATTTCCAACAGAAGGATTCCCCACCATGACGTGGATTTTGCAGAAGAAAAGGAGCGAGATCATTTTGGAAAATGGGAATCACAATAAGTTCCCTACCAGCTTTGAGATGATTCACTCCACTGCCAAGCTGTTCATAATAAGACTCTGTTACAGATTAGTTAGGATAACTCTACTAGATTCCCATGTGTGTGTGGACAAGCGTGCTCCTGCAAATTAGTACGAACTCAACAGTCATGGTTCTGCTCAGAGTAATAATGCGACTACCGATGGCATCATTAGAAACAACTATGGTCAATAGGCTGTTGGTTTCATGAGCAATCTCGATATCAGTAACCGTATGTTGGCTAAGGTTCATGGGGTCCTCGAAGGGATCAAGCTCGTCTAGAGGACTTGAATTTGTAAGCTTATTGTGGGAGTCAACTCTCTTTATCTCATGCATCTCTTGCAGAAGCTTAGACGTAGTGACTCTTCTACCACTAAGATAGAAGCCCAGATAAAAAAGCTCCTAAACCAACACTAGGATATCCAAATTATCCATATGCACAAAGAGGATAATCCTTGCGCTGTTAACTTAGCGATTTGAGTCCATCATCTCTCGGTCTCTTACGCGAGCCTGCCTTATGCTCGGGAGGACCTCCACACCTTTCCTCTACCTTAATTACTACAATACTGTTTGAACTCTAGTTAACGAGTATTAGTTCTTGATTTGTGTGGACTGTCCTTTCCCTCCATTTGTTTCTAAAAGAATAGTATTTTGAATAGTTTTATACATTTTTCACATTAATTTAATGTATTCATAATTTTATCAATGAAGTTCTCTATATGTTTTTTTAAAATCGTTAATCTATTTTAGCATTTAGTTTTTTACTTGATTTTAGCTACTGATAATTTCATTAGAGACTACTCCATTTTCTTCTCTTCTATCATTTTCACCCGAAAGCGAAAAAGGAACCAATCTCAGAATCATAAGAAAATAGTAATTGAATATTCACATGAAAATACCTTCTAAGAACTCTCGCTTCGATTTGGCTTCGAAGAAATGAACACCCGATCATCATCTTCAACAGTAGATATCCAGTCATTTGTTGCAGGATTGCTCCTAAAAGTACGTTTCTCAACAAGGCCTTCGCCGACATGGCCACTCCCCAACCGAATCACACCACCATATCCTTCTTCTTCTTCACCTCCTCCTCTCACCATTCTTATAAATCCACTTCCTGTCTGTTACAATCAGACAAAGAACACGCAGATCTAATTAGAAGAAGAAAGAGACTAATTAGCGATAACCAACACCGAACATCGGAAAAGATACCGTGTGATGTTGTTTATCAACGGAGGCCAGCTCCTTGTAATACTGCGTCTCTACATATTCATCCTGCAAAACTACGCGATGACCGGACACAAACTGAAAACCAATTGTGGAAATTGGACAGCCATGAAATACCGCAAAAGGCCGAGAAATCAGAAGATAGAAATGAGATAGAGAGAGAAGAACAAGATACATAAGATTGAGACTGGAGAGACAATAACCGGTCATGCTCGGGCATGTCGTGGCGGAGAAGGGGCATGGCTGAATCCGCCATGTCTTGTTCGCTCCGATTGGGTTTGGTGTGTCGTTTTGGGGCCAAGCTATCAAAGTGAGCCCTAACCTCATTTGCGATCTTGATCTGTTCATCGGCGTCCAACACCTCGTCGCTCCTGCTTGGTTTGGTCACCACCGAATGCCCCTGCCTCGCCATGGTGCCTCTTGCTTTCTCTTTCGGCGCCATTGACTTGGTTCGAGCCCGCTTCATGTGAATTTATATACAAGTGCAAATGCTCAAATGGGCCTGATCTGTCCTAAACGGGCTATTGGCCCATTTTCTTTTTAAATTTTTTTAATTTCTCTCTAAATAATCTGTTTTTATTTCAATTAAATAATTCTATATTTATTTTTCATTTCTTTAATTTTTGAAGATTTATTGTAATAATGCCATGGAGTTAATTTTTAGAATTTAATTTTTTAAAAAAAATTAGAAATTACCAGCATAATTACTTTTACTTTTAGAGCACGATTAAGTTAGGTAAAATATTATATAAAACTTAATTAAATAATAATTTATGTTAACTTCAAATAGAATTGTTTATTATTTAATATTGGAACCACTACTTGCTTTAATAATTACTACATTTCATTCTATAAAGAGGTTATTGGTTGGATTGGTGTTATATTCCTTTGCTTATCATCTGAAAATTATTTTAGTTGTAGTATTATGATTGTCTATATATATGTTATATATATATATATAAGCATTTCAAAATTAGACTATAATTTTTTTCATGAGTATATGCACAGATATCAGAAAAAGACAGGCCCATCTGCTGCATTAGAAGAGGAAGGCCTATTAAGCTTATAAACTTAATCAGGCTGCATGCATGCAGTGCTTCGAAACCCCGATATACACCTATACGTGCTTATATGTATATATTTATTGTCTGTATTTGATTAAATATACGAGACTGGCTTTTCTGCTCTTCAACCGTGCAAACTGCAAACTCCCATGGAAGCTCCCTGGTCTTTGTTAGATATCTAAGTTATTGTTAATTAATTTAGTATGCCATATAATCTAGAGATCTCCGCATACACACACAAAAAAAAAAAGAATAAATAATAATAAAATAACCTGAAAATGTTGCAATTTAATTTGCTCTTTTGATTTTAGGATATTAAAATTACCATTCAAATTAAAAATCAAAGAATATTTCTCTGCATTAATTTTTATAAACATATATATAGCCTGATGAAATTGAATAAGCTTCTACATATACAGAAAATTACATGTGTGTGAAACCAACAAACCCACATCATCAATTCCAACTTACGTTCACTGCATCGCCATCATCATCAACAAATCCATAATGACCCGATTAATGACCCGACCCTTTCCTGCTCGGACCTGCAGCCAACGTATGCATTTCTTGGCCTAACAGTACCCGATTTCTCGTATTTCCGATTGAGGAAAACCTGAAAACGGAAGAAGAACGTCTTCCCCTGTTTTTCTCTCCTCCTACCGCCCACGACACCCGAGCTCTCGTGTGAGCTTTAATGGCTGCCGCCGACGAACTGAAAACTGAAGAACCCAGTTTGAGAAATGCTTCTCCAAGCCCAGTTCCTCCACTGTCTTTTTCTTTCCTTGCCGCCCATTGGAGCTCTCTGCAATAAACAGAGGTTGAGGACAACACCATGATCACCACCAAGAGGAAGCAGAAGTTTCTCATTGGTGGTGGATAATGGAGTGTTTTGCTCTGGAAAAAAAAAAGATCGAAAAGGGTGCGTTAATAAGGAGTGCAGTGAAATATTCGTTACAGGGAATGAATGGAGGTGAGAGGAGATTGACCGCTGGACGAATCTCCATTGAATGAGGTACCGGTGGTGATATAAGGGCCGGTTTGGTTGGCAAATAAGCAAAAGAACGGTTTGTGGCTTTTTGGGTTGGGGACCCACTTAAGCAGAAAGTTTTATTTGACTACGACTTCTTTAATTTTGTGATTGAAGTTTTATTTCTTAATTTTTTTTTATAAAAAATTTTACTTTCACTTTAGTAATTGTCGGTATTTTTTGACTTTGGAATCATCTCATAATTTATAATTATTATATAAGGTAATTTTATTATTTATATAAGGAATATGAATCAGGAAATTATTCGTGTAACTAAACTTATTTTCTTGTCAAAACATCTTCGAAATAATAAAGTTTATAATTTTTTTTTTAAAAAAAATATAAGAATACCCAAAATTGATTTCAAATAAATTTTTTGAAAATTTTCAAAATTAATTATTAATTTTAAAATATTTTATTTAAATATTTACATGACAATTATCAAATTAAAAAAAAAAAAAAGCTTCTTTGTTATTTGTTACCAACTAATAGATCTTGGTAATTAATTAATTATAGTAAGTTCATGTGTTGGTTAAGCTTCAAATTTAAATGGGTTCTGCATAAATATGAAATGGGAGGTGGAAATTATAAGGAATTCAAACCAGTAAACAATTATATTATTATATATGTATATATATATATTCTTGATACTTTTTATAGTGGAAAGAAAAGAGAGGATAACATTGAAGAACCAAACACCATTTATGCTCCAAAACTGTAGGTGTGCGCGTAACCTTCCTTTTTTCTAGTTTTTTCTTTTCCCAAATTAAACTTATAAGAGTGAAAATGATTAGATACAATCAATACAAATGTCAATACTAAGTTAGATTTTTCTATTAAAAAAATAATAATAATAAATTATTTGCTTTAGGAATCTCAATGTATTAAAGAAAAATAATTAATGGGAAAATTTCAATAGTATTATCGGTGGGTGTGGACAGAATACGAAAATAAAATATTATATAAAATATTAGGTGTTATTCAACGGGGGGATAAGTTGTTTATAAATTAATTAAATTTTATTTGTAATATTGTAAGATAATGTCAAGAATTATTTATTTACCCTTTATAAATAAAATTAAAATTCACTCATTAATTTAATTATTTTTTTAATAAAATTTTTTATAAATTTTATTAATTAAGCGACGCATTCATATTAAGTCTAATGTAACATGAGAAACAGACTAAATTTGAAATTATAATATTTTATAAAATAAAAATATACTACCAACTATATTATAAAAAAAATATTAATTAGTCTAATCATTTGACAACAGAAAAATAGTGATATTTATTATACAATATACATATATATATATGACCGTCTGACTAGGGTTTTAGAATTGGGCTCTCTAGAATCCATGTAATCGGCCAGTTTTTTGGGCTTCAAAATCCCACTTTGGGCCCATTAGGAATCTTAATTATCAAAAAGTATTACTAAAAAAAATTTAAGCTCAATACAGAAAAAAAAAAAAAAAAACATCTGATTTTATTTATTTATTGGGAAGAATTTCTTTATTAACTTATTAATTTTTTAATAAAAATTTATTTATTTTTTATTTGTTTACATGTATATTAATAATAACATAATAAAAATATAAAAAATAAAATTCAACTAAAATGTATAATCTCTTATAAACAAGATAATATACGAGTCAAATAATAATTTATTTTTATATTGACAAATAAAGTAATTATTTAAAAAAATTACTAGATTACATTAATGCCTAAAAGTGGACAGTAATTAAATTGATTTGCTACTGATTTCATTTATGAATTTTTCCAAGTTTCGATCAGAGGAGCCACCTTTTCTCACCGTTCTTCTCGCTGCTTCCTTCAATTCCGCCGCCCTCTTCTTCATCTCCGCCGCCTGCGGCCCATCTGAGACCTCCTTCAGACACCTCTCCACCTCCTCCACACTCAGCTTCCCGTTGTCCCCATTTCTCATCCTCACCCCAATCTTGAAACAATCAACCAAAAGCTTCGCGTCCATCGGCTGATCAGTCCACGACGGATACGCAATCACCGGCAGGCCGACCACCACGCTCTCCATCGTCGAGTTCCACCCGCAATGCGTCAAGAAGCAAGACAGAGCCGGGTGCATCAGAACTCTCTCTTGCGGACACCACGTTACCACCAGACCCCTATCCTTAGTCTCTCTCAGAAACTCAGAGGACAGCTCGCCAACTTTTTTCTCGGAATCTTTTTTGTCTTTCTCAGGCTGCGCCGGAGACCTCACAACCCAGAGAAATGGTCTCTCGGTGTTCTTCAACGCCTTCGATATACTGTCCACCTGCTGCTGATTCAACAGCAGAATGCTTCCAAACGAGATGTAAACCACAGAAGCCGGTGCCTGGTTGTCGAGCCACTCAGTGCACGAATCTTCAGCTTTGTACATCTCGAAATTCCCCACTGTTTTTTCTTCCTCGCCGAGAAGAAATGGGGAGACAACTGGCCCAATCGGGATGATTTCTTTCAGCGACGCCATGGAATTCACTACTTCTTCCTCCAGCTCAAAAAACGAACTCCCTAAAACCCACTTCACCTTATCCAATTTCTGAACAAAATCATAAACTAATCTCCCAAAACTATTCGCATAGACAGGGAACATGAACCCCGGAAAATCTCTTACCTCTAGACCTGGAATTCCCGGCAAGTCAATTTTCTCACGTGAATTTTCGACGAGCGGCGGAAAATCGTTACATTTTTTATAGTAACGATAATAAACGGAGTAAGCGGCAGTAGCCTGAATCCAAAGCACTGCCGACGGAATGTTCTGCTCCTCTGCAACATCCGTCACCCATGGCATGAAATTGTTACTAATGATACACGAGAAAGAAACGTCTCTCTCCTTGGCGAGGTTGGCGATGAGGGCTGAGAGATTTTTAGGCCCATTTGTTTTTAGAGCTTCGAACCAGCGCTCGGCATTGCTTTCGCGGTCGAAGTCAAGGCTGAAACCGTCGCTGAAGAACTTTAAATCGATTGAGCCGCTGGCGGCGGCGGTGGTATATAGGGTTGCAGAGTGGTTGTTTGAGCGGAGAAGACGGTCGCGAACGTAATCGAGGGTGGCTATGGTGACATGAATTCCTTTTGGCACGAGGCGTTTGGCAATTTTGAGTAGTGGGCTGAGGTGACCCTGCGCTGGGAATGTCACCATTAGAACATGAACTTCTCCAGTTGATCCCATGGCTGATTAAGTTTTCTGTAGATTGAGATTGAACATAAGCTTAATTTAAGATTTACTGGTTGGTTATATATATATATATATAATTAAGCAAAACAAAAAAAAAAAAAAGGGTATTTGTATATATCTCTTAGTAATTAATGTATGGATTTTTTAACAGATTTTTTTTTTTGGGCTGAGGGGATCAAATACGGCGTGCTACTTAAATAGAAAAATCAAATGACACGATCTATTTTCACCAGGAAACATAATTAATTCAGATTTTATTTTTTGAACTGAAAAATAAGTAATTTTTTTTTTATAGTAGAAATGGATTTATATTTAAATTTAGTATTTAGTGAATTAAATAGATAAAGATAGAGCAAATCCAACCATGCATTAATTCTATATATCTTAAAAAAAATAATGTTTTGCTACTATAAATTATAAAAATTTGATAATGATATAAATTTGTTTGATATATAATTATTGTATTTATGTTAACATCTTTCTTTTTTCTGTATATCCAAGACAAATCTTTTCACTGTACCAAACTTATATAGAAAACCTCACAATATATATATATATATATATATATACACTCGAACAAACTCAACTAGGCTGATCCAATTGGAACATCACACCCAACTGGATGGATATTTTTTTATTTATTATTTAAACTATCTTTCTAATTAAAATTAATTTGCAATGTTAAAATTAAGTAATAGATCAATAAATTAATCATTTATCAAATCTATAATTAATAAAATTAACAATATAGTCAGTAATTATCTAATATTAACCTAAACTAATGATTTTTTTAAAATATATTTTTTTAATCGCAATCCTCCCGTATTTGGACAGAAGATCAGGCCAAATATCCAGTCTAATTTTTCCTGGTTCTGTTTAAACTTTTTGGTTCCAATCAAATTACAGACTTGATCTTGGATTGGCCTTAATGCGAGCCCGTGTGTAATTACAAGAGGTGGCGAGGTGGTCTTAGATGGTTTCCTAATTTGCTTAAATGGGTTTTAAAATATGAGCCTATATTGTTGTGGTGATGTTTGCTAATTACTTACTAATCAATCAAATTCATCTTGTTTTTTTTAGATGTAGCACGTGTGGTATGCGTGTGCATATATATATATATATATATATATATATGTGTGTGTTATGTTAAGGTGCACGTGCATCATCGTTCTATTAGATGAATAAATACTTTATTTTAACTATTCAAACAATATGAGATCAAATAGATAATAAAACCCTATTAGGATTTTTCTAACTCATTGCATCCTCTTGAAGTTGTCTTGATTGTTCTTACATTTTCTTACTTTGGTTCTCTATTTTGTTTATAAATCTTCATGACTTAAATCAGGTCCGGAACATTTTCGTACAATAAGAATATATATATATATATACATATTACTAATAATATTGTGGTATAATAGTTAAAATTATTGTATTTTTTAAGGTTATGAATTTGAAACTTAAATAGTACATAAAATTTGATACATTGTGAGTATATATTATAATTGGATTACTATAGGAAAAAATTAATAAATAAATAATAATAGTAATAATATATATATATATAATGGGGGAAGAGTGAGAAGGGACGGTTCAGATTAAGGAATGAGAATAGATGATTGGGATTATTTAGCAGAATATGTATAATTAGGATTTTAAAAAAAGAAAAAGAAAAAGAAAAAGAAAAGAAAAGGAAAAGAGGGGGAGAAGAGAGAAGATGAGGTAGTCGGTTGAGGATTTAAGAGAAAGCTGAAGAAGGAGGAGATGAGAAGAGAGAAGAGGAGACAGTCGGCCGAGGATTTGAGAGAGAGCCAGAGAAGGAGGAGACAATTAAGAATTGAGTGAGTTGGGGCTGTGTTAAGGACGATGGAGACAGGAGATATGGTAAATTCGAATTTCAAACACTGAAATTAAAATTATAGTTAAATTTCAATCCTAAAAATGTATATTTGTGTATTAGATGAGAGGGATTGGATCACAAAGAGGATAGGGAGCCGTAAAAGAGAAATAACTCTTCTAAAAGAGTAGTCGAGAAGTCAATAGGGAGTGGGAAGTTTGGTAGGCGAAAACGGGAGAGTATAGTGCAAGAGGTACGAACAGGAATTACGAAGGAAATAATTGTATAACTCTGTATCGGTATATATATAGCAAAATATTATCAACGGGACAGGAAGTTCGAAGGATGTAGGAATTATGCAAGGAAATATATAAATATGTAGGGCATACCGGACAATCGCCAAAAAGAGGAGAAGCTTAAAGACCGCTGAGGTTAGGTTGTGAAGAGATTTATGAACAAAATTAGTGACAGCGAAAGCGGTATAAGAGGGATGAAGACGATGAGAGAGAGAGTTACTAGTGAGAGGGAGTGGCCTGAGAAGGACACTTGAGGAAGATGAGAGAAAAAGATACCAGTGAGAGGGAGTGGTCTGATGAGGTACTGTCGGGTGAGATGAGAGGGAGAGATAAAAATAAGAAAAAAATATAAACAGTGAGTAAGGGCGTGGTGAAAACGTGCATTAACAGTGTGTGTGTGTGTGCGTTGTGAGAAAAGCATAATGAGTATGTGTAGGAATTCTGTTGATTGAACATGTGTGTGGACAGTGAAATGAACTGGTTTATATATTTGTTGAATATGTGTGCTTGTATAAACTATTTCGTGTATTTACTGAATATGCATGCATGTATGATGATTGACTCTGATTGTGAAAAGTGTATAACCATACTTATAGTATTGTCGTGACTGAAAATGCTGATATTGGTTATTGATAGTTGTTAATCCAGGGGAGGAGTGGGGTCGCCGATGGTGGTGACAGTTAAAGGGTTACCGGAAGGGTAACAGTGTGAGTGTGTGGCAAGTTTATGGTCAAGACTTGGTGGAGTTGGGATGAGTTGAGTCGCCGATATTGATGATATAATGAATGGGTAACGATGTGAGTGGGTGGCCAGTTGAGGTCGAATAGTAACAAAAAAAAAAGTCACCGATATTAATGATGGCTGGGGGTTTGATCTGAGAGTAATAGTGTGGATGTGTGGTCGGGTTAGGGTCGAGTGGACAAATACATCATATATGTGAAAAAATATTAGGGTGGTCTATTGTGGTGACTTCACGTGGTAAGACGTGAGAATGGTTGACAATTTTCTTCGAGGATATATTGTAATTATAGCAAGGAGTAAGTGAGTAAGAGGAGAAGAGTATGGGTAGGAGGGATGGAGTGACTAATGGAAGTGGGGACCTAGGAGAACAGAGATTTAACTTGATTTTCATGTTATGTTTATGATTTTAATTTACTTTACTGAACTTGTGTATACTCATTAATTATCATTTATAGATGATGTAACACCGAAAACTGAATCAAAGTTGCGTTCTCCCGATCTTAGCGTGTAGAGAAGACGAAATAGGAAGTATGGATAATGAAACGAAATACTCATATAATTAGTAGAAAGTAGCTCCTGTTGAAATGAAAAATTATGAAATTGTATTCTACATTTGATGAATATACAATGAAGTAATTTTAGAAATTTGAATAATTTGATTTAAACATTTTCTATGTGGTATGACCGATTGGTTACGGAATGATATATGTTATGCTACGTATGCTAACAGAGTCGTCGTAACGCCGTTGAGGCTAAATTCGAGGCATCACAGTATATCATAAATGATGTCGATTAACATATGATATTTGATATAATTAGATCGATAATTTAATTTATTAATGTATTAATAAATTTAACTTATTTACTAGTATATTACATTCATTAACAAAATAAATATTTAAAAATAAACTAAGTGCTATTAAATAGAAAAATCACAATTAAAAAATCAACATTAAATTTTTTTTAACGAAGAAGTATATATATATATATATATATAGTAAATTTGGTTCAATAAAATTTAAACAATTTATGTTATTATCAAGAAAATGTAGTTCCCTCATCACAAACATAAAACCGTCAAAGTTTTCTACATTTTCTCCCATTTCGTGGTCTAAGTTTTGATTATAAAATCATATTTCAAACTGAAAATCACGTTTTCTAATTTGTTATTGCCTAATATAATTTGTTAAAAAAAAAAAAAAAATCATCTAATTTTTTGGGTCAAACTTTTGACTTTTATTCCCAATTTGATACGATAAAAACTTACTAATTCAAAGTTATATGTAACAATTTTGAAGACCAACTATTAAAATTAATATATATATATATATATATTATAATATTCTATATTCTCTATATACGTGGTAAAGACGAAAATCTATAGTTCATTAGTACATCCCAACAAAATAGTTTTTATTAATCGCATGCGGACATATTACATACGACAGATTTGTATGTATATTTACACGTGCTTAATTAATTGGCTAAGTTGAAAATTATTGGTAATTTTTTAGGAACAGAAATTTGAGAAATGAGGAAATTGTAATTAATTTTCTTGGTATTTTATTTGTGTGATATACTAAATATTTAAAAATATGAATACTTCCATTTAAGTACTTACAGTTCATCTAAAAAACTGTAGAGATCTGGCTATTATTCTTACATTTAAATTAATATATATGTATATATATATGTACATATATATTAAATAACAAAGCATAATAGTCTAATCAAAAGCAATTTGACAAACTGACCGGTCAAATTACATGCCCATTAAGTCAAATCTCACTTAAGAAAAATAATAAGCCTTTCATCATAGTAAGAATTCAAACACACAACTTAATGCGTAAGGGTCTTTGGTCTCTATCTAGCCTCCTTTGCTCTGCCCTCCGACTCAGGTATTAGTACACCAAAATAATGTGCGTCCGCCGAGCTGACTCGGCCGCCACTCAGTTAAACTCGATACGACCAATTTAAATACTAACTGCCCACTACCTTCCCCCATTTTCTTTTTCCACACACCTTCCAATTTGGACTCGCAATTTCTTATTCTATTTTTTTTTCTCTTTTAGTCTTCTTTAGTTTTCAATTTTCCATGCCTTTAATTTCTTGTATTGGCTCCATGAATCTCCCTCGATGCTTCCTGCTCCATCAGCCATATCCAAGCTTATTATTCTTTATACATTGTTTACGTATTTTATGATGTAAATTCCTGGGTTGACTGAGTCAAAAGTCCACCTGAAATTGCATGCGCAATATATTCATTTATTTATTTATTTATTTTTTCATTTAATTTGCACTATAAATAACACAGACCCAGAACCTGCATGTGCATATACAACAACATTAAGCCTATTATTCCCAACAAGAACATGAGGAACATACTCAGAGCTCTCGGTTTTGGTTTTCTGATCTTGTGGATCAACTCAGTTTCAACTGAGTCAGAAGCACGGCCCTTCAACGTCCTGTCATGGAGAAAGACACCCCATGAAGGGGTTAGTAGTGGTTTCTTTGATGGGATATCTCTGGGAGCAATCAAGCAATCGGGTCCGAGTCCCGGCGAGGGACACAAGTTCACCGACGGGAAAACTCTCGGCGGCATTAAGAGCTCCGGTCAGAGTCCCGGCGAGGGACACAAGTACGTCGACTCCAAAACTCTCGGCAGCGTTAAGAATTCCGGTCCGAGTCCCGGGCAAGGACATAGATTCACTGACAGTTACAGTCTCGGTGGGATTAAGGATTCCGGTCCCAGTCCCGGACAAGGACATAAATTTACGAAGAGTTACAGTCTCGGTGGGATTAAAGATTCCGGCCCCAGTCCCGGAGGAGGGCATAGATTTACGAACAGTTACAGTCTCGGCGGGATGAAGGATTCCGGTCCCAGTCCCGGGCAGGGAAATAGATTCGCAGAAAGCCGTGGACAAAAACACAAGTTAATGGATGGACGGACCGTTGGTGGCATCAAGGCCTCGGGTTCGAGCCCTGGGGAAGGACATTAAGTACGTTAATGGCGGGCGTGTGCTTATTAATTAAGTAGATGACAGCATTTAATTAATCTAATTCATTTGGTTCATTTATTAATTATTGTTATTATTATTATTATTATTATTTTTGGGTTTTTTTAGTGAAGGGATTATTTGTTTAAGATTTAAATTGTTTGTAGTTGGAAAAATATATTGTACTTAATTATAAAATAGAGGAAAATAAATAAAGGAGAAGAAATTAAATTATTAGGCTATAAGTGAAGTACTATTTGTTCAATAATTTTTTTTACTAATAAAATTATATGGCTATTTTTAATATGCCTATTTATTTATTTTGGAATAAATAAAATTTTTTATATGATTCTATTGAAAATTAATTTTTTTTAAAACGGTAATTTGATTTTTTTTATCATTTTAAGTAAAGTAATTAGTTTTAAATTAAAGAATGTTTGCACTTGTTTGAACTTTAAAAACAAAAAAAAAACATGTAATTCAACGTAAATAAATCCAAATTAGGAAAGAAAAATATTAAATTCTCAATAAACTAGGCTTCAAAGTTTGTAATTTTATGAAAAAACAAATATAAAATTACAAATGATAATATATAGAATTACAAAAAAAAGTACTATAATATATACACTAAACTGCAATTATAAAAACCCTTGTACTTTCTTATTCATAAGTTATCTTTTACTGTTAATATAAAAGTTTACTTTATTATCTTCTACTAATATTTGTAACCAAGTACAAATTATTCCACAGTATTTTTAAATTTATTATTGATGAAAATTTTATATATAGTTTAAAAATTGTTGTATATATGTGAGGATTACACATAGTTTTTATATTCGATGTATTATGATTTTTTAAGTGATTAATTTATTTATATAGACAGTTTAATATATCATTTTTACGGTATATTAATTATTACAAATTAATATAATTGTTGAGAATTGCAAAACTCTCGTGGATTTAAAATCAGACATCTCAATTAACTAGGTCAGTAGATAATATAACAAAAATATCAATAATATCGTCATATCAGTCTGTTTTTTTCGAACTTTCACGTACTTATTAGGAAGGACTCTAGTAGAAATTTCTGAACGATTGTTGGGCTGCCGCTTACCGCTTTTAGCAGAGTTGTTAACATACATATCAATTTTGCAACACTGCATCCAAAACGCTTAAGAATCGGGTACCCTCAAGCTAGATGCCTTAAGAGTGGTGACAACCCTCCAATCTAGATTTGCAAATGAATCCAACTTCGAGTTTATTATTGAAGATTGCAAAACTCTCGTGGAGCTAAGACCAAATATTTTTATTTAATTAGGTAAGTAGACACTATAACAAAGAGTGTTTTTTTTTTTTAAAAAAAGTAATTTTACTACTAATAACTTTATTATTTAATATACACGTCACTTACTTAAATTAATTTTAATATGTAAGATAAAATAAATTTATTAAATAAATATTTTTATTTTTTAAAATGAAAAAAATATATATCATGTCGGAATAAAAAGAGACGTGTTCCATGTAGCAAGCTTTTGATTTTTTTTTTCAAAACGTTGTAATTTATTTCATTGATGATTAATTAATATTAAGAAAAAAAATTAAAAGAAAAAATAAAATCTAAATTTCAACGA